GGGGGGGTGTCTGGGATGGATGATGGAGGATGGCGAGATGGGATTGAGGGAGGGAGGGAGGGAGGGATGGAGGATGGAGGATGGAGAAAGTCAGGGAGGAGTAGGGAAGGAGGGGAAGAAGAAGATGAGGAGAGAAGAAGACCTAACGAGGGGGGAAGAAGAAGAAGAAGAAGAAGAAGAAGAAGAAGAAGAAGAAGAAGAGAGGTGGGGAGGGGAAGAAGAGAAGATGAAGAAAGGTCGAGCAGAAAGATGAAAACGCAAGGGGAGGAGGGGAAGATGAAGAAGACGAGAGGACGACGAGGAGAGGAAGGAGAAGAAGAAGGTGACCGAAGGAGGGGGAGGAGGACGGCCTTCGTTTTTTTAATTTTTTTCAAGCTAACGTGTCTCACGTGACCTACCGAATGTCGACGAACTGGAAGAAGAAGAAGAAGCAGAAGGAGGAGAAGAAGAAGAAGAAGAAGAAGAAGAAGAAGAAGAAGAGGAGAAAGAAAACGAGTGGGGGAGAATGGGAAGACGAAGAAGAAGATGAAAGGTTATGGAGGAAGATGAAATCGCGAGGTGGACGAGGGGAAGACGAAGAAGATGAGTGGAGGAGGAGGAGGAGAGAAGAAGAAGAAGGAGGAGGAGAGAAGAAGTAGAAGAAAATGAGCCGAGCAGGGGGGGGGGGGGTAGGGGGACGGCCTGTCGTATCTCACGTGATCTGCCGAATGATCTAGAAGAGGAAGAAGAAGAAGAAGAAGAAGAAGAAGAAGGGGAAGCAGTATGGCTGCGATAGGGTATGGCGGCGGCGGTAGGGTATGGAGAAAGGCAGGGAGGAGTAGGGAAGGAGGGGAAGAAGAAGACAAGGAGAGAAGAAGACCTAATGAAGAAGAAGAAGAAGAAGAAGAAGAAGAAGAAGAAGAAGAAGAAGGAGAAGAAGAAGAAGATCAAGAAAAGTCGAGGGGAAAGATGAAAACGCGAGGGGGAGGGGAAGAAGTGAAGACAAGATAACTACGAGGAGAAAAGAAGAAGGAGAGGAAGAAGATGAGCGGAGAAGAAGGGGGAGGACGGTCGTGTTTTTTTTTTTTTTTTTTTTTGTAACCTGTCGTGTCTCAGGTCACCTACCGAAAGTCGACGAACTAGAAGGAGGGGAAAAAGAAGACGAGGAAGAAGAAGAAGAAGAAGAAGAAGAAGAAGAAGAAGAAGAAGAAGAAGAACGGCACCTTCGTCCTCGGGGCCTTCGTCGTAGCACGAGGGCCTTTGTCATAGCAGCAGCAGCAGGACAGTCGAGGCCTTCGTCGTAGCAGCAGCGGCAGGACAGTCGGGGCCTTCTTTGCACGCCTGATGGCGTCGGGCGACGGGCGACGGGCACGAAGAAGAAGAAGAAGAAGAAGAAGAAGAAGAAGAAGAATTCCTTCGTCGTAGCACCAGGGCCTTCGTCGTAGCAGCAGCAGAAGGACAGTCGGGGCCTTCATCGTAGCAGCAGCAGCAGGACAGTCGGGGCCTTCGTCGGAGCAGCAGCAGCTGCACACCCAATGGCGACGGGCGACGGCGCAGCAGGAGGAGGTCGGCCACTGGGATTGTGCTGGGGGGCGAGTGGCAGCCCACCCCAGCCGATCGAAGGTTTGAAGGGGGGAGAGGAAGTTTGGCGCCAAGATCCCACGGCTCTGTGGCCGTCAATCATGGAGGATCGACGTCCACAGAGCCGACAAAAAATTCAAAAAACAAAGCAGGCCTACCGGGCCCGACGCTGAGGTTTTTTGGGCCGGTCGGACCTGGTAGGCCTGCAAAAAAAAAAAAAAAAAAAAAAAAAGGCCTGCAGGAGGCCAGCAGCAGCCGAAAGGGGGTCCGAACCCCCCCGGCAGGTGACTGCGCTGGGAGGGCCCGGCCCCCAACCGGGTGCCCTGCCCGGCCAGGTCGCCCGGGGCCTCCCCCGGGCTGCGGCCTGTCACCCGGGCGGCCCGGTTCCCCACTCAGGGTTAGTTGAATTATTTGAATATATTGACCAGGCGTTATTTTCGGGTGAAGATGGTAGGCACCCAGAAAGTTATCCTAGACTTTTTCTATTATATTATCATTATTATTATTATTATTATCATCATTATTACTGTTATTAATTTATTATTATTATTATTATTATTATTATTATTATTATTATTATTATTATTGTTGTTGTTGTTGTTGTTTGAACTTGTTAAAATTTAAAAGTTATTATAGAGCTTTTTTTCTCTTGTGGAAATTTGCCAGAATGATGTTCCTTCAACTAGGCACTGTTTGGACTGAATATGACTGTAGTCATGGTCAGGATTCACTTTCTGATGAGTTTGGCAGTTTGGAGCAAGGAAATGCGAAAGCGGACGGAAGTTTTCGTACCGTCAGCTCTCCACCCCACGAATGGGACGCGTACTCTGTCTCGTTTTCCAATTTATTTATTTTTTTTTCTTATTTCTGAGGGATAGCCCCTCACATTCTCGTATCCATTTGATTCCATCAGAATTTCAACCCTCGATCTGTCTGGGGGGTAAGGGAAAAAAAAAAAAGAAATCGAAAAAAAAAAAACAATGTCATGTGCATGAGGTGTGTATGCACGTTGGTCGAGTTACACTGGCACTTTCTTGAACGAATCTGGACGTATTTCTGGTCAAAATCCGTCAGATACGTCCTGGAAGTCTTCAGTACAAGGTACTTATTAGGAAAGAGGTGGGGGGTTTGGAGGCTGTCTCTTATACACATCTAGATGTGTATAAGAGACAGGTGCATGAGGTGTGTATGCACGTTGGTCGAGTTACACTGGCACTTTCTTGAACGAATCTGGACGTATTTCTGGTCAAAATCCGTCAGATACGTCCTGGAAGTCTTCAGTACAAGGTACTTATTAGGAAAGAGGTGGGGGGTTTGGAGGGGGGTAGAGGAAGGGGGGGATTAAAAAAAGATGGAAGGTTTTGTCCTTGACTCTCCGCCCCCACAGATGGGATGCTCATCATCAGCCTCCCAGAAGGCCCAACAGCACATTTCAGGGTATCGAGTGTAGTTCTTGGGAAAAAAATCAAGGTGGGTAAGGGGTACTAAGGAGTACCAAGGATATGTTTGTTTGTTTGTTTGTTTGTTTGTTTGTTTGTTTGTTTTTTTTTCCCCCTGCGTGCGTGGTCCTGTTCCCAACCATCTGATACATTCCAACCATCTGATACATTAAGGGGAAAAAAAAAAAAAGTGTTACGATCCTGGCCAATTTCGAAGTATACATTCATCTGAAAGTACAATGCCATCCAATTGCAAAAAGAAATGAATGAACTTGCGAGGAGAGAGAGGGAAAGAAGAAGAAGAAGAAGAAGAAGTAAGAAAGAAGAAGGAGATGATGTACTCCAGCATAGACCAATGACAAGGCTCTTCGTCTTCGCCAACCAATCTCTTCCTCCTTATCTCCTCCCCTCTTATTCAAAAAAGAAATAACAATAATGATGTTGAATGATGATTGAACCAGAATCAATGTCCGAATCCCACTTCTACTGCAGGCACAACATGAGGTCCACCATAGCCATGGCCACCCTTCCTCTTCCTCTACATACAGGCCGAGGCTATGGCGGAGCACTGAGGGCTCTCCCTGCTGTCCAAAGGACAACCCAAAGCAGCTATGTTGCTGCCCTTCTGTCCCAAGGTCAACGCCATGCAGCTATACCGCTGCCCCACTGAACCGCCATGCCTGACTCTGCCCCGAGCTTCCTTGATGCGGCACTACCCCCACTGGGGCCTTCCAGATGCAGCGCCTAACAAGGTGATGAAGATGGTGTCTGCCATAGCCAGGTAAGCACCCCACCACTCTCCTCCTTAGTCCCCTTCTCCCTCCTCCTACCGGTAGAGCTCCACCATAGCCAAGGCGGAAGCTCCCGGCTTCTTCCTCCCAGCAGCGCTGTAGTACCCAGCGCCACTCCAGCCAGCGCTCCAGCAGCGTGTCGCCAAACTTGCACACTGAAGAATGAGGCCGAGCTCTTGCCTCGGCCTCTTAATATAGCGGCCTGGTTGCCTCCTGGGCGGTGACTTCCAGGCGGCTCGGCCTCCCAAGCAACCGGTACCTCCTCCCTTTCGGAGGGAAACATCATTGCAGACTCTGATATTGCCCGCACAGGCTCTAGACTTAGACTGGATGGACTCGTACCGGCTAGACCTAGCCTACCGCTACTGGGCCTCTAAAAATGCCAACTTTGTCTTCTTCTGCTCGGTCTCGATTACCCGGCACATCTACTGCTACTGGGTGCGGTACCGGCCTACCTGCTACTTGAGTGTTTTCCCGCTGCTCTAAGCACTGCGGGCCCCTGGCTCCGCTACTTGAGTGTTTCCCCCGCTGCAACCCTCAATGCCACGGCCACAGGTTAAGTACCGGCCCTACGGGGCTGCCAAACAAGCAAGTACCCTTGCGGGTCACACACACACTCATGCCGACAAGCACTCAGACAGGCACGCAAGTCCACAGGCACACAGACATACAGACTTAGAAAACACAGCAGAATGCGGGAATCTCAGCAAGGCATCCATTCCATCGGCAGAACTTCAGAAATCAGCAGTGGTCTCAGTCTGTTTTATGGCGGGTCATTACAAAAGAAAAGAAAAGCAAAAGTTGTTTCGAAGAAACATTGTGGTGCAAATTGAGGTGCGTAAGGAATTGGCTTGTGTCCTTTTTTTCTTTTTCTTTTTCTTTTTTTGTTACCTGTCTACTTGATCCCCGTGCCAAAAAGCCCCTCAGGCATTAAAAAAAGAAAGAAAAAAAAGAAGCAAAAGAAAGAGATGAATCAAAGGCCTTGTTATGCCCACTCTCATATTGCAGTGATGAGCGAATTATTAGGTTTTTAAACTTTTCTGTTCATTCTTCCGAGTCACTGAACAATTAGTAAATTACTGAATTAAGATTTCTTTTCATGCATTGAATCACACTCTTCGTCACCTCGCGCACACGCACACACAATTTTTTTTTTGTTAAATACAAAAAAAGGAATTATAAAACCGGGAAGCGGGCCCAGCGTCACACGCACAAATTGAGAGATCACACGAACGAAATCCGCACTGGAGACCAGAGATGCAAAGTCCAGGTAAGCATAAATCGAGAAATGGTCCAAATTAAAAAAGAAAAAAGAAGAAAAAAAAAGAAGATCCAACAAATGATCATATTAAACAGTTTCGGAGATCCAGTCCCCAAGCGCTCAACAACGCAGAATTCAGCCACCCATATCCAGCATCCTCGTCCAAGGTAGGTGACTCTCGCTCTCTCTCTTTGTGTCGCTCCCTTCTCTATGCATACACTCACTCTCCTGCCCCCCTCCCCCCCCTCTCTCTCTCTCTCTACTTGAAAATCTTGACCCTGGATACATCCGCTACTTCTCAGCTCTACATCCTACTACTAGCTGTGCGGCTATGGCCGCCTGCCTTCCTCAGCCCAGCGCTGCCCAGCCAGGGCTCTAGCGCCTGCTACGTGTAGATAGCGCACACACGCTTCAGCAGCATTTCCACACTTCTCGCGAATGAGCAATCTGTCCGAAATGAGGCTGGCCAGTCCTTATATTGACGTGGAGTGAGCCCTCACTCGTCCCTGCCTCTGCTTCTCTTGGCTCAACTTGGACCCGGTACTGGCTGCCCGCGGCCTGTTTGCTTCCGAATGAATGTTGAGACCCGGTATGTTCCTGGGTTTTCCGCGGTGTGCTGCTGCTTTGGGTCTGTGGGACGTCACCTTTGCCTGTTGGGCGTGACGCTTGCTTGTGGAATACGACTTCTGACTGCGAGATGTGACTCTTGCCTATGGGACGTGACTTTGCCTCGAGGATGTGACTGTTGATCGGGTACCCGTTGGACTTTGGCCTCTGGGGCACCCGACATAACCTTTCTGCATCGTGGAATGACGCTCATTCATATCTGGCTTGTTTTCAAAGAAATAAACTTTAATAAGGACACTTAGCCTGACTTAGGAGAATATAAATGAGGTGTAAAATGGTTAATCGCAGTTAGTGCTTTGGTCTTTTCCGCTGAAGATATATTTCATTGCAGGGTGGCACTGTTGACTCGGGCAGGACTTTAGGCTGGTAGCATGCTTCTTTGTCAAAACTTGACCTCTCACTCCTCCTCCTCCTCCTCCTCCTCTGTCCTCGTCCTCGTCCTCTCGTCCTCTCGTCCTCTCGTCCTCGTCCTCTCGTCCTCTCGTCCTCTCGTCCTCTCGTCCTCGTCCTCGTCCTCGTCCTCGTCCTCTCGTCCTCGTCCTCGTCCTCGTCCTCTCGTCCTCTCGTCCTCGTCCTCGTCCTCGTCCTCGTCCTCGTCCTCGTCCTCGTCCTCGTCCTCATCCTCCCCTCTTCCCACGTCCTCGTCCTCGTCCTCGTCCTTGTCCTCATCCTCCCCTCTTCCCACTTCTTGTTGTCGTTGTTTTCCTTTTCTTTCCTCTTCTTCTTTGTCCTTGTCATTGTCCTTGTGGTTGTTGCTGCTTAGTGTCTGTTGTTTTTGCTGTTGCGAAGGTCACAGCTTCAAATCCTGTAGGAAGGGATCATCCTCTAGGCGAAGAAGGTTGTTTGTTGTTGTGTTCGTTGTTGTGTTCGTTGTTGCGTTTGTTGTTGTCGTTTGTTGTTGCGTTTGTCGTTGTTATGGTGTTGTTATTGATGTTTGGTGTCGTTATTGATTTCCTGAGTCCTCCTCTTCCTCCTCCTCCACCTCTCCCCCGCCCATCCCGGTCGTTGAAGTGTCAGACCATGTCTGTTCTAACGGATCTTATACGATTGATGGGGGGTTTGTGTGGATGTTGTTTCCTTTATGTAGGGTCATGGTCGACCCACACACCATAAGCCGGAGCTGATTCTCAATAACTTCGACACACGTCTAGGACACCGGCTTGGCAGGTGAGGAGGACTTTTTTTTTTCTTTCTTCTTTTTTGGGTTACCTCGATCTCAATCTGTTTGTCAGGGGATCTAGATTTGCTGTTTTTTTTTTCTCTTCGAGTTTCCTGTAAGCAAATGGAGGAACTCGGGAACCCCCCCCACTTCTCCCCCCCACCCTTTGCAGGGGTAAAAATACTAGCAAGGTGCCAGGTTTTTT